GAGTGCATGTCTGAGATTAGGGAGAACATCTGTAAAGTTTCCCCTGATGTGTGTGATGCAACCTGATTTCATAATCTGGCAGGATTTAGGAACTTCTGTAGCTGTGAGCTGTGAGACTCGCCTGAGCTGCCACGAAAAGCCCTTACGAGCTCTGATCTTTGCCAAAGGGGGTGTTACTAAGTACAGGAAAAAGTGGGGTGCAGAAAGTTTTGCTTTGGGGGCTTTAGATCCTGTTTAAAATATTAAACAAACTCGTCATCTTTTGTGTTTTGGTCATGTTTTTACTCACTTTGATATTCACACTAACATACATTTTGACCAGGCATACCCACAGCATGAGGCACTCACTCCACGAAACCTATCAGAGTCACTTCTGGCATTAAGATGTCAATTTAGATTCTGTACGATGATACTCATCACTACTGACCAGGAGTATTCCACAAGCATCCTTGTTTAGTACGGTGTCCGACCCAGTTATCTGGACATAGCCATTTGGTCCTTGTCAAAGTTGTTCAGACCTTCACATCTAATATATAACTTAACAAACCGTGACGTTCAGCCTCGCTGTAAGAAAATCAATGTTCCTTTTTTTTTTTTTTTTTACATGCACACAAGTTCAGTTTAACAGAATGTCTTCAGACAAATAGAAAACATGTTTTTGGAGCAACTGTTACAGATCAGACCGTACTTTGCTCAAACATATACTGCCATGTTATGACTAAAGATTAAGAACACATTAAAATATACATTACAAGTATATCTATGGTGCAGGTGATGTAAAACAAGCTCAAAGAAAAAGAAAGAAAATGATACACATACAGTCATGGAAAAAAAAATGATGAGACCACTCTTGTTTTCTTTAATTTCTTGTTCATCTTAATGCCTGGTACCACGAAAGGTACATTTGTTTGGACAAATTTAATAACAACAAAAATAGCTTATAAGAGTTTCGAGCTGATGTCGAGACATGTTCCATGGTTTTCTTGATAATAACCAAAATCCAAAGCCAAAAACCATGCTTTCAGACATTCCATGTTTTCTTTTCTGTCTGTTTTAGTCACATGATGCACACAGGAGTTAGTACTTGATGCATAACCATTGTTTCTGATGACTGCAGCCATGCGTCTTGGCTGCTCTCCACCAGCTTCTGACATTGTTCTGCTGTCACAGCAGTCCATTCCTGTTGCACAAATTCAAACAAATTAGCTTTGTTTTTGGGTTTGTGGTTCTCCATTTTGTGTTTGATGATTTCCCACAGGTTTTCAATTGGACGTAGATCTGGTGATTGAACAGGCCAAGGCGTGGTTCCAGTGTTCTGGTTCTCCATCCAGGCTTTAACTGACTTCGTCGTGTGGCAAGAGGCATTGTCTTGTTGGAAAATCCAGTCATTGGAGGCAGGACAGAGTTTTCCAGCTGATGGAAGAAGACTGTTTTCTAGACTAGCCCTGTACATGACCTGCTTCATTCGACCTTCACACTATTGTATTTTCCCTGTTCCACCCAAACTGAAACAAGCCCAGATGGTCACTGATCCACCCCCATGTTTTACTGTAGGGGCAAGACAGTCTGGTTGGTAGGCTTCTCCAGGCTTCCTCCTCACCAATAAGTTGGCTGAAGTGGGCATCAACTAATGATGATGTTGATGAAGGTCTTCTTCTGTGCCCTGTGTGACCTCAGACCAGCTTCAAGAAGTCGGTTTCCAACTGTCCTTGCTGAACAAGTCACATTTCTCAACTCATTTTTAAGGTCCCTGGAGGTCTTGACTATGATTCCTGACACAGGAACAGATGAGTTCACGATCATCTTGTGGGGTAGAAAGACGTTTCCTGCTGCGACCAGCTAGCAGTCTGGTAGCACCATGTCTTTTTTTCTTGGTGTAATGAACGTCTGTCTTGGAGACCTCCAGTTTTTTCGCTACCTGTCTCTCATTTATGCCAATTTCCAGCAGTGCCAAGATGGCTGCCTTTGTGGCTTCACATAATTCTTTTGTTTTAGGCATTATGTGAGAGCTGACAACTTCTGAGTTGTGCTACGGCTTGAATGTAAGCAGGAAACCACTCCAGGCCTTTGCATGTGCTGCTGATGACATGAAATGACCTCTTATATACCCTGAGAATACAATGAAGCTTAAGCACGTCAGATAGGACATAAAGTATGATGGAATGAGCTGAATGTTTTGTTTTGTTCACTGTATTCTTCAGGTAATATACCTTTAGTGGTACCAGGCATTAAAATGAACAAGGGTTGTCTAACCATTTTTTCCATGACTGTATAATAGACGTTGACAAGGACCATATTGATTTTCCGGATGTATTCCTTAACATGCTATTTAAAATCCTCTTTAACGAGTCTTGTGAAGTGTAATGATCAGAAAAACGCAGCAAAGTTTTCTGCTATTGGATGTCATTATTATATCAGTCATACTAATTCTGTCACAGCTGTGTGCACAAGACAAGAAGGAAAGATGGAAGAGTTCAGTGGACTAATGATGAAACCAAAGCAGCAAGTTCAAACACAACAAGGCAGGTGGACAGCTACAGGTACTCATACAGGTTCCCATTCAAGTGGCAGGAATGCAAAAGCATGTGGCGACATTGATGATCTGGTCAGAGGCGGGTGGAAACGGACTTGGAATAGGGAGCAAGTGAGTAAGTGGCTGTAAGAGTGAGGTAGCTGAGACCACTGAGCCTGAGAAAGTAATGGGTTCAAAGGAAGAGGCCTGTTGGTTGTGGAACCAAAATTGCTCTTTGCAGCAAACCAGAATAGAAAAAAGTGCACCACATCATGTGCAATTTGACAAATTGTTGAAAATCTCCCAGCTTTCACCACTTTGCCTGAAAAGAAGCGTAGCATTGCACTTGTCCAAAGTGAACACTTTGTATCCACGTCCAGGAAACTTCCTATTGACTTTTCATGTGGGAAAGGTGCTGAGAGTGTGCAAAAAAGGGAGACCTTGGAAATTAAAGCTTGCTTTGTGATAGCTTGCCTCTTGCTTTTTTTTGTAACAGTCGTCCTCACAAACTTCATCGATCGATGGCCGACAGCGATTCTGGCCTCTTTGAAGTCAAATGTAGAAATGAATAGGAGTGTATTCTTTTTAGTGTAATCCTTAAACTACATTCAACACAAAAATTTAAAAACACTAATAAAAAATGGTAGCCTTGCTTAGCTTAGCATACCATTAACACCCAAAGGCTTTTGGAAAACATCCAGCCAACATTAAGAGCCTGATTTTGCACCTTTATGGAATGAAATGTTGGATTTGTTATTTGCCATCACCTCCCTTTGTGTAATCCAGTTTTGTGAATTTGTAAATGTCTGCCAAATAATGGAGGAGTAGCTACATGTACATTTATAAAGGGCGGCTGCACACATACGCTTAATTTTACCTAAAAACGAAATTCAGATGCGCTACTAGAAAATAAAAACGGAGACGGGCTTAATGTGTATACCTTAATCAGTGACTTATGTGATGTTGGTTACAAATGCGTTATAAATTAGACTTCATGTCAGCAGCAGGTTTTTTTGGGTGGCATTTAGAAAACCAGTCTGCAGACAGGGTCCTAGGTGAGCCAACTGAGTGGGCTTTAGCAATACATGCTAATTGAATCAGTAAATTCAAAGGTCAACCGAATGCAGAATACATCGCTCCAGCTCTGATTCCCCGACACAGATCACACATTATGACCAAATTATTCATCATTTTTTCGGGACTGAATATTCGAAAAATTGACCATTTTCCGCTTCATGCATCATTGGCGTATGACAATGTGTCTGTTGCCTGGCCTGCTTTCAGTGGTTTGTCAGCCAATCACTGGTTTGCCTTCTTCCTTTGGGTTGCGAGGGGTGAGGGGTGGGGAGGGTTCCTTCACTCTTTGTTGCTCTCCACGTGGCTTCCATGGCGGCCTTCCAAGATGCACGAGTCTACCACTGCCTTGGCTTCTTGTCATTGCCGTAGACCTCACCTTGTGGAGACCAGCGATTGCCTTAAACCCCATAATGGACTTAACGTAGGGATGTGTGGCCCCCATCTGGTGACCCCCGGTCTTGAAACCTTTGTCCTGGCTGCCGTCCGTTTGCCTCTGTATGCCCAGTGTTTGCAAATCTCTTACATTGTGCAGTGGTGTGTACCATTTCATTTAGCAAGTTCATTTATCAAATCCTGCTGCTGTTTGATCAGTTAACCTTAAAGTCGATTTTACTTGTTCTCTTTATTTAATGTATGAGAATCCTCAAGTTTTAAAACGTTCTTCAGTATCAAAATAAATCAGTGATAGCTGTCATTGCATTTAATGGTGCAAAGCTATGTGTTGGAAGCTGGTTGAGTATATTAAATTTTCCAAAACATAAATAGACATATGCTTGAAAAGTGAGCTCATGTTGCTGTTCACAGTGAAGTTCATTCTATCCACGGCGACATTATTCCTCCTGGTTCTTCCCAAAGTTTAGACCGTTCCACACAAGTGAAGACTTTTAAAGGCTTAGAAAATGTACACTTCTTTTCAACAGTAAAAAACAAAACAATGCTATTTAATTAGAAGGATAAATGTATATCTGCATGTCACACCAACGACCAAAAAGTTCAAGGTAATATGAGTCTGTTAAATTAAAGTGAAGGAGGATAGCTTTCGACCCATGACGCGGGACTGTTCTCTTACACTTCATCAACAATCCCAACACACAAACACACACACACACACAAATCAAGAGCTGGCCCGGTCAGACAGATGAAATCCTGTCTTACCCCAGTCTGATGCTTGTCTAATGAGCAGTGTGGCAAAGATACATTATGAAGAAAATCAATCATGTATAACACCACAGCGAGCCAGAGAATTGTCAGATTTGTCAGCTAATTTCATGCTAATTGAGTCCCCAACCCCGGGGTTATTTTTAACCTCATCACGGCTCTGATCACGTGAAATAGCAGGCTCTTTGCTCACGTGTCATTAATTAGACTAAAAACATCAATCATCATTTTTTTTTTTGGTTTCTCCCCTCAGTACCCGCCAGGATCACGAACATATCGAAGGATGTCACAGTGAACGAGGGCAGCAACGTCAATCTTATGTGCCTGGCTGTCGGTCGACCTGAGGCCAACATCATATGGAAGCATCATTCGCCAAGGGGTAAGCCACAGGGGCCTTTATTATATTTCACTTTATTTTCTCATCCTGAAGCTGCTTTTTATGTTGAAATCCTAAAGTACCGAATCCCATCCAGGAAGACTTTGTGAAGAACTAAATCCAGTGGATTTGTAAACTGCTGTTGGGACCGGAAATAAAAATTCTGTAGTTGTTATTCTGCTCTGCTATAGTACTTTATCTGACATCTGTATAAAGTTAGAATATTTATGCTCAGATTTCAGCACATTATTATGTTATTTCTCTGAAATCCTTACCTCGTCTACGTATTGTGAATTTCTCTCTTCAGTTTTTTATCTTTTTGCCGCAGCCAAAGCTTGTTTAGAAAAATCCCACAAAACAAATGTGTCAAGCAAAGCTGTGGCATTAAATCAGTGTAAAGGTGATTGAACTAATCCTCCCACACACTCGGCCTGATGTCCACAGTCCCACGTAACACACACCTCCAACACTTGCTTCACATGAATATTTGCCTTTGTGAATACCAGCCATTTACCTCCAGCAGGGCAAGAATCTGTAGCTTTTGTTAACATACAGTAGCTACAAGAGGATTTATGATGAATTACACGAGGGCTTAGTCTATTGACCAAGCCTCTGTTTTCAACTTGGTGGATTTGGAGGGTCGCTGCTCCACAACCTGTGGCCTGACAGGAACCAAGTCCAATCAAAGCATTATTTGGCTGGAGGCCACAGCTGGTTGTGTTGTGTTGTGGTGGAGCCTCACAGCCTGATGAAGAGCCAAGAAGCTCTGTGTGTCTGTATGTGTGTGTGTGCGCTTGTGTGTTCTGTGTTCTAATTGTGTTGGCTCCATGCTTCCCACTGAGCATTCAGCAGTGTGAGTCATGCACTGCTTCTCTATAGGATCAGATGTTCAGCCTCCAACATGACATGAATGCTTACAGCCCAGCTGTTCCTCTCTTCCTTCCCATTACCTAGAGCCAACAGTCTCCACCACCTCAGCCATCAGCAATGTTTGCATCCCTCCATTTACTAATCCACCAATATTTACTTAATATCACAAACCAATTGTTTAGCGTGTGCATTGTAGTCAAAAAGGACGACTTTAATGACATTATGGTGCCATTTACACTGACTGTATGCAGAACCGAACACTCGATTACCACTTTAAAGCAGCTTTTGTGTTTTGTTTTTTAATCAAAGTGAAGAAAAAAAAAGAATATTGGCAAATCACTGGTTTGAAATTTCCATAGTAGCAGGTAGAAATAAGTCCGTCCTCACTACCAGGCCGGAATTGATGCACAGCAGCAAGAGCAGTGGAAATGAAGCAATGAAATCACACTTGAAAAGTAATACACTGGCATCCAAAGTCAGGCAGCCTGGTATGCTGCTTTTGTGTGTGTGTGTGTGTGTGTGTATGTGTGCGTTATAGTCAACAGGGAAGATAATGGGCTATCTTACTTGACATTTCTCTGAGTTGCACTAATGAAAAGAGAGACTATGTGGGGAGATGTTTGGGCAGCCAAAGAAATTCTCGCTGGCAGTCACAATCTTAAATGTTTTTCCTGCAGAGTGGCATTTCCCCGACTAGCTCCTCACCGTTTGCTTTTCATGTTTGTCACCAGCGATAATGGACTGTTCCCTCAGAGGATACCGTTTGCGTCTGTTAGTTCAGCACTAAAGTGAGCAGCCTTTTCCCTGAGTTAAACCGCATTTCTAGGATGTCTAAAATCTGCGATGCGGCCGCCTCGCCATTTGATAGTTGTTGTTTTGTTTTTTTTTACGACGTATCATTTTAAATGTTCACACTCACATGGTGTCAGGAACATGAGCAATTGTACGACGGCAGCTGATGATGCAGAGAGACGCATCACCTTCCACTCTGAAGATGACAAGTGACATGAGGAAATAGTGTCTGGAAAAGATGGAAGAAATAAGAAATATTAAAGCCGTGCTGCTTAATTTCAGTCTGAGGTTTGTTAACAGAATGTAATACTGACTTCTTCGACTTCAATCCTGTTCCAGTTGCATCACTGAATAAAGCGGCAAAAAAAATAAACGCCTCAGTAGAGCTGGTGACAGAAATAAGAGCCGTGTGGAGCTAGCAGCCCCATAAATGTGTAGCCTCTGTAGTCCTTTACTTAATATATGGACCCTGTCAATTTAAGTCTCACCTTTATTTTGTGCGCTGCAAGACTCACTCCTCATTTCAGCTCAGTGGGACTACATAAATTATTCAGCAGTGTCCAGTGACTCTCTGGCTGCTGGCCACTAAATGGATTAAAAGATATATGGTTGGGAGAAAACAGTTTATTCAGGGGACAATGCAATATGGATCCCTCCAGCCCATTAAGGCTCATTAAAGTGGATAGGTTGTGAATGTGTACTCACTCAGATGTCAGGTGCCATTCCTTTTCAAATTACTGCAGAGTGATAGATAGTCCGGCTGTGAGCTCTCCTTTAATGTGCTGAGGAGGACTCCCAGAGTTTAGAGTTGTGACAAGCAGATACCATATCTGAACATAAAATGAGCATGTCTTTCTTTAAACTCTGTGTCTTAGAACATATCACAGAGAAACATGACGATAGGTTTAGCAGAAACATGTCAACATTTATGGAATCGACGGACATCGATGGTTCCCAGATTATCTATTCTGGAGACATTGAAATGGTCATGTGTATATCAAGCACCATTATCAGCTCACCATTGAAATCTGACTGCTTCTTTGGTTTATGATCTCACACCTGATAAATTAGTCACATCATCAACCTTAGCGGGCTGCAAGGTGGCGCAGTTGGTTAGCAGTGTTGCCTCGCAGCAAGAGGGTTGCCGGTTCACATCCCGGTGGGGGCACCGGGATCTTTCTGCGTGGAGTTTGCATGTTCTCCCCGTGCAGCGTGGGTTCTCTCCGGGTTCTCCGGCTTCCTCCCACACAGTCCAAAAACATGTTGAGGTTAATTGGTGTCTCTATGTCATTTCGCATTTCTACTAATGCTGCTGTAATGATACAACATGCACAAAATGTGGTAGATTTTAGATGCAAGCAAGTTTTGGTCTTGCTTGTGACTGCTCCACCCTCTTGTGCTTTTGTGGGTCACAAGATGCCCACCAGATTCTAAATTGTCCATAGGTGTGAATGTGAGTGTGCTTGGTTGTCTGTCTCTAAGTGTAGCCCTGTGATAGACTGGTGACCTGTCTAGGTGTTCCCTGCCTTCACCCTAAGTCAGCTGGGATAGACTCCAGCCCCCCGTGACCCTAGTGAGGATTAAGCGGTGTGTAGATAATGGATGGATAGATGGATCAACCTTAGCTGTACTTTTTAAATCACAGAATATCAGAATGTTAACGAGCTAATTCAAAACGGTTCACATGGTAAGCATAATAAACACAAACATGCCAACCTGTAACGGTGTTACTGTTCTGACATTAACACTTGACTCCAGCTGCATTAAAAGACATATAGTGGTAACACCTTTACACATTTATTTTCAAGTCAGATTAAAAGTTAGCTCCCTGAAAAGACCATGTTGCTTATTGTATTATCAGGATCTCCATCCAGGACGGCTTGCCTACATCTAAATGCATAACGGCCTCAGGAAGTGAAACCTACATACCTTTGCTGTTACACGCCCACTCTCCACCACATCGGTGTTGTGCGCTACCGAAATGTAGCATTAATTGGAAGAAATAAATAAGTAAAAATCACTTTCAGTAAACACATTCCAGGTAGCAATTATGTTTCCAACAAAAAAAATATGTGACACCACAAGGTTGTTGCTTTCTAACCGCAAAAATTATTAAAGACTACTTTATTTATTTTTTTTGTGCCCAGAGAGTTTGCTTTATTTTGACTTTTCATTTAATAATATTTTTTTCAGAGATTCAGGTTTTGAGACCTGACAAGTAAATTGAGAGGCACAAAGCTTTCATGACATCTGAGGCACAATTATTTGGAAAACTGGCAGTGCCGAGCGCTTTTGACAGAACGACAGCAGCACAGACAGATGTAGTCAACTTGTGATTAGTCTCCTGATGAGGGCCATTCACAGTGTTATACAGCAGGAATGAATGGCACGCTATTTGCAGTGATGCCGCCTTCCAATAAGAACAATAGTCAGACATTGCCTGCTGACACTTGTGGTGCAGTTATCACTGGGGGAAGAGAAAAGACTGTGTGCAGGTGGTTCTGGAGAAAAAAAAAAAAAGAAAATAGAATATAGAAAAGATCCTTCAAAAAATTACGTTGCATGACATTTCACAAAGGGACTACCACACTGGAAAGAAAGCCTGCCTTGTGTTATGTCTTCTTAGATGGGAGATAGACGACGCAGGCCTGTGAATATTTCTGGTCTGTTTGGAGGAGCTTCAGTAAGCCCTATCAATGCATCACTATAAGCCTCTAATCTAATAAAGGCAATATTGATTATTGAAATGGCAGAAACTGTTAGTAGAGGACAATAGTTTGTCTCTGCGTGGTTTCACTACTAAACAGTTTTGTCACGATGGCAAAACCATCATATAGAAATAAATAGTTGGATAAATTCACATGTCTTTGACTTACTCTCACAGACACATACAAATGGTGGTGGCTAAAAATAAAAATAAAAAAAACAGATCTTTGCTACGTGATACAAACCAGGTTTGCACTGATACATACTCTCTTGCTTTAAGCACTGCAGGTGGTGACAGATGTGTTTTCCTCTGGACAAAAAGTGACCGTACACCGAGGAATACTGGACAGACTGCTTGTTAGTCCCTGTTCATGAACCAGACTCACACAGTAGACTCAGTGCTTCTGAGTTTGTTAGACTGCTAAACCGTATCTATAATTCCTGACTGAAAGCAGATCTCGCTGGACTTGCTGCTGGGGTTTGGGTGATGACAACTTTTGGTGCCTATTAGTGTTTGGTGTTTCATGCAAATACTTTTGTCTCCATGTCATTTCTTTTTCTACTAATACTACTGTAATGATACAACAAAATATGGACGATTTTAGACGAGGCTTTACAAGTTTTGGTCTTGCTTG